CACGGCGCCCTTGTTGCCATGGCGCCCTGTGCGGCCGCACGACTTGCACACCCCTAAGGCCAGCCCTGGATACAGCGCCTTGTAGGTGGCTAGAATATATTCTAGTATTTTCTGATCTGGGAGGGTAGTTAAACTAGTCCAGCATTTAAAGTGTCAGTATAATGTGGGGAAACTTTGCTCTGCAATGTTGTCCATTCTCTAAATCTATACCAGTCCACTATTTAAATGTGCTTGTGGCATCTGAGCTAAAGTATGTTTGTGCTATTAAAGAGAAACTGTACTGACCATTGCTGGACTTCTACAGGCAGTTACCTTCTGCAGAAATGGGTGGGTACCATATTGTACTGTAAGACACAATTACTAGGTGGCTGTACCACTCTGTAGCTCATCAAGGTCCAAAACGTGTACAGTATCTCTGGTTACCTACAGTAAAAAGTAACGTGAGCATAAGTGTTGGAATGGCAAGTTAGTGGCTACCTTGTTTTTTTTTGGGGGGGGGATTGTGCCTCTTAATCTTTTCTATTAACTGACCCTTATTTCATCCATTGGTTACCAGTTTTTCATAAATGGCTGTTAAATTAATTGCTTTAAGTCCCAGTGTGTACACCTTACTTGGGCGGGGGGGGGAATAAATTCTTTACTTTGCACCTGCAAAGTATAAATTGAAATTGTGCTGAATTCTGAGTTTTATGGCTTGTGCTACTGTGGGAACATTGATGGCCTAGTGTAGATTTATCTTTATTTGCCTGAAGCTTGTCACAAGATACGGCATGACATTCACTAAACTTGTGCCTGCAACAAAACGAATTCTAGAGCAAGATATTGTCATGTCTCCCTACCTACCCATGGGTATATCAGGTTTGTTGTAAGCACACACTCTTGTAACTGACAACTGGTTTAATCACAGTGCCAACATAATAGAGCGTTGTTCTTGGGAAGGGGTTACCTTACCATAGTTGGTATGCAATTTGCCTTAAGGTGTCCATAGTTTAAAATGGGTGGTTGGATGCATTAATACAGTCAACCTGCCCTTGGACAAAACTCTCCAAGGTATGCAATGAAATTTTGCAAACTGCGGAGGAGATATCTCAAATCTCTACTTTGTCTTTACCTATCCAGTGGTGCAGGGGTAGCAAACCTCCGGCCCTCCAGCTGTGGTGAA